GTGAGACTGCGGGTAGAGGCGAGTGATAGACCGCGCGCAAGCGACTGATAGACCGGACCGACTCACATCCGTCCCGACTATCCACCGTGTCCAAACATATAGTCTAGGCCGTGTATAGAGCTTATTCACCACACGTCATCATGACGTCACGACCCCTCATGTCCCGTGCGACGCCATTTTGGGGCTACAGCGCCTACAGCGAGTTTCCAAGCGTTGAAATGGCCGACAAACGTTAGGTAAACTGTCCTTTGTCCTATTACACGAAGAGTTTACCACCACTCATACCTCTCGTTACTGGAACAAAATAAAATCTGTTGGGATTGACCCGTTTTTGTTGAGTTTTGATCAGTCTGATCGAGACGGCGTCTACCGCCAGCGGAGTCCATTGACGCGACTTAGCTTCGTATTTGGTACTGGGCCGAAGTTTTTACACACAACATCGGTTCAAACCCACTAAGAGTCTGGAAGCGTTGCATCAGGATGTGTAGAGAGTGTTGTGGGACATGCAGTTGCGTGGTGACAAGTACGTTGTAGTCGGGATACGCAAAAGGTCGCTATTTTGGAACAGCCCCGGACTGTGTCTGGATAATAACAAACAAATGCGGGGCCATCGGCCGCCGGCCGCCATCCTCAGTCCGCACTGCCGCGACTGTGGCTGGACAAGGTGAGTGTTACAAGTTGCCACTGCCCTGTTCTACATGGACATTTACCACAGAGTAAAGGGACAGGTAGCTTCAACAGATTTAACGTGTCCATGGCTATCCACGTTGACATCTACAGGGGGCGATCTACAGGCCCCTACGCCAGGGTAAAACACACCGATTTCTGATCAGCAAAAAAAAGATAAAAGCCGATCTTGAGAACATGAGACGTGGACATGGAGCCAGAACAACCCTAAGGACAATGTTACTAACAAGAAGAGTGTTCAAAACGTAGATTGTGGCCCAAAATGTGCAACTATCGCCAAGAGTTTGCATAGCGTACCATAGCGATAGGCACCATGCTGCACCCCCTAATGGCGGACAATGCTCGCTGCATAAACTACTTTTTAAAAATTCAAGATTTATGATCCAAGGTGGCGGACAGCTTAGATATTCATTACGTCATTCTATGACGTCACCGGTGTTGCTCTGGGCAACATAAATCTTAGTAGACCCTATATATTCTATCATAAACACGTTAAGTTGTATAATATTGAGTTTTAAGAGAATTAACCATCTAGACGATTTTGGGCAATAAAATCATTAAAAATGTCATAATGACGTCATATTACGTCATAACGATATGAAAATTGTTGTAATGATTAATTTTTACTAGCACACCTTCCTCTAAAAATTTGGTGGTCATACAATATACCGTTCTTGAGCTCTGAGGGGGGGGGG